GAACGGGATGCAGTACCTGCTTCCCCTAGCTCTAGGAACCAGTTTGCGCTCAGGGACAACTTTTAAAGCACAGCAGGGGAGGATGCTTGGCCTTGTGTTGCTCCTTCACAACAGCCTACTCCTTCTCTCAGGGCAAACAGAACAAGCACACTTGCTGGCACTATCCTGCCCTAGTCACTACCTCGTCCCCCACCGTGCCTTGCGGTGACATTACATGGACCAAATAGGATACACAGGTCTTTGCAGAGTCCTCCTCAGGATGGCTGCAAGCTATACATAGTGAGGCAGTATGGGATAGGGCTGTCCCAAGGCTGGCAATACAGAGGCAAGGCGTGCAGCCCACAGAGCACACTATGCTTCAGCTGTTCAAAGGCCCATACTCCTTTCAACAGTAAGGATATAGCTTACCCAAACAGCCCTGACCTTTGCTGGCCTTCAGTAGGGGAATATTATCAGATCAGCTGCTGATTTCCCCTACTTCCAAAGCACAAGCAAGCACACAAAGAGGTTGGATGACATTTGGCTTCTTGCAAAAAAACAGCAGATAATTCAGTGAGATTAGAAAGCAGCTTCCTCTTCCACAGGAACCATCTCTGCATGGCTGGGCAGTAACCTGGCTCCACTGGAATGACGCTGCTCGAGCGCCTCTCTGTGGATTTTTGAGCTCCTGTTCCTCCACTCACACAACCCTTTTAAATTCCCCCCTTCCCCCCCCCCACCCCGCGCCCCCTCAGTTACAGAGCCAAATTGTTCTTATTATACCCAGGTAGCACCCTTGAGTTCATTGAACTTGTCGCTGAGCCAGAACATGGCCCAGCAGAAACTAACAGTTTTACCTTTTGATGGTGATATTATGACACCTCTCAAGGCCTTTCTATAATTCCCAGCAGCAGTATTAGCTCAAATTGGCTCAGGCCTGTGGCTGCCTAGGGCTCACTGAGTGACTGAGAAGGAAAAAATGGCTGGAAAGGGTATCATCTTTGGAACAAGCAACCAGGTGCCTCTGATCCTCTCCAAAATGGGCTGTGAAGCTCAGCGCACAGCTCCATCACCAACACCCATGTCAATATGCTGATCATACCAATTTTTCTGTAGCCCTTCGAAGAAGCAGGAGATAAATGGTCCCCTGCTAAAGTCATGAGTAAAAACAAAGGCTCTTCATCAGCCTCCTGCAGCTGCTTGTTGTTTTCCTTTCACTGTGGAGCCTGCCAGCTCCTGGTTATCTTCGCCAAGCACATGATTAGGATTTTAGAGCAAATTCAAATTGCAAACAAACAAGCAAATCTTGAGATGAATATACAAACTGCTGGATACACAGTACCTCTAGCCGCTCTAGCAGTTACAGCATCTCCATCCATGGAGATATTCAAAAAGTATCTGGACATGGTCCTGGGCAACCTACTCTTAGTGACCTTGCTTGAGCAGAGGGGTTGGACTAGATCTCCAAAGGTCCCTTCCAGCCTCAACCATTCTGTGATTCTGTGAGCAGATCCTGTCCTGCCTCTTCTTCAGTTGCTAAACAAGCCCTACTCCTTTTCTGGATGGAAAGCAGATGGGGTAAGACCTTTACATTTGAACAAACAGCAAGGATTAGACCAAGTGCTGTTTGAGAGGCTATTTATTTGTTGTGCTGGCTCTCTGCAGCATGGGAAGCAATGCAGAAATAGGAATTCCTGCCCAGAGTAATCCCCTGCGTCCAGTTACGGCAGAAGGTCCATTGTTTCTTAAATCACAGAATCATAGAAAGGCAAAGGCTGAAAGGGACCTCTGGAGATCATCTAGTCCAACCCCCTGATCAAGCAAGGTCGTTTAGAGCACATTGCACAGGATCGCATCCAGGTGGGTTTTGAATATCTCCAGAGAAGAAGACTCCACTGCCTCTCTGGGCAACCTGTTCCAGTGCTCAGTCACCCTCACACTAAAGAAATTTTTCCTCAGGTTCAGATGGAGCTTCCTGTGTTTCAGCTGGTGCCCGTTGCCTCTTGTCCTGTCGCTGGGCACTACTGAAAATAGTCTGTCCCCATCCTCTTGACATCCTCCCTTTAGGTGTTTGTATACATTGATGAGATCGCCTCTCAGTCTTCTCTTCTCCAGGCTAAACAGGCCCAGCTCTCGCAGCCTTTCTTCACAGGAGAGATGCTCCAGTCCCCTCATCATCTTTGTAGCCCTCCACTGGACTCTCTCCAGTAGTGCCATGTCTCTCTTGTACTGGGGAGCCCAGAATTGCACATAGTATTCCAGGGGAGGCCTCACCAGGGCTGAGCAGAGGGGCAGGATCACCTCCTTCGACCTGCTGGCAACACTCTGCCTAATGCACTCCAGCATGCCATTGGCCTTCTTGGCCACAAGGGCACATTGATGGCTCATGCTTAAGTTAACTTGTTGTCCACCAGGACTCCCAGGTCCTTCTCTGCAGAGCTACTTTCCAGCAGGTCAACCCCCAGCCTGTACTGCTGCATGGGGTTATTCCTGCCTAGGTGCAGCACCCTACACTTGCCTTTGTTGAATTTCTTGAGGTTCTTCTCTGCCCAGCTCTCCAGGCCTGTCCAGGTCCCTCTGAATGGCGGCATAGCCTTCTGGTGTGTCAGCTACTCCTTCTAGCTTTGTATCATCAGCAAACTTATTGAGGGTGCACTCTGTGCCTTCATCCAGGTCATTGACAAATAAATTGAACAAGATTGGACCCAGGACTGACCCCTGGGGGATACCACTAGCTACAGGCCTTCTGCTAGACTCTGCGCCACTGATCACAACAACCCTCTAAGCTCTGCCATCCAGCCAGTTATCAATCCATCTCACTGTCCGCTCACCTAACCCCCACTTCCTGAGCTTACCTATGAGAATGTTTTGGGAGACAGTGTCAAAAGCCTTGCTGAAGTCCAGGTAGACAACATCCACTGCTCTCCCCTCATCTACCCAACCAGTCATTCCATCTCAGAAGGTTATCCGATTGGTTAAGCATGATCTCCCCTTGGCAAATCCATGCTGACTACTCCTCCTGAGGTGAGGCTGACTAGCCTGTAGTTCCCTGGGTCCTCCTTCTTGCCCTTTTTGAAGGGGCCCATGGATTTGTGGATGTCAAGTTTGGTCAAATGATCTCTAACCCAATCCTCCTCAACCAAGGGAGAGTCTTCCATTCTCTAGACTTTCTTTCTTGTCCCCAGGATCTGGGATTCCTGGGGGCTGGCTTTAGCAGTGCAGACTGACGCAAAGAAGGCATTCAGCAACTCTGCCTTCTCTGTATCCTTTGTCACCAGGGCACCCGCCCCATTCAGCAGCGGGCCCACATTTTCCCTGGTCTTCTTTTTGCTATTGATGTATTTGAAGAAGCCCTTCTTGTTATCCTTGACATCCCTTGCCAGATTTAATTCCAAATGGGCCTTAGCCTTCCTTATCGCATCCCTGCACACTCTGACAACGTCCCTGTATTCCTCCCAAGTGGCCTGTCCCCTTTCCCACATTCTGTAGACTTCCTTCTTCTGTTGGAGTTTGGCCAGGAGTTCCTTGCTCATCCATGCAGGTCTCCTGCCCACTTTGCTGGATTTCTTACTCAGAGGGATGCACCCGTCTTGAGCCTGGAGGAAGTGATGCTTGAATATTAACCAGCTTTCCTGGACCCCCCTTCCCTCAAGGGCCCTACCCCGTCACATTCCTCCAAGTCCCTGAAGAGGCCAAAGTTAGCTCTCCTGAAGTCCAGGGTTGCGATCTTACTTATTGCCCTGCTCCCTCCTCGTAGGATCCTGAACTCCACCATCTCAATCACCACAGAATAAGTTGTTACTGCCACAACAGCAAGAACAGAAGAAAAGATCAAGGATTGTTCCATGTTCACTTCAGTGCTAGCCCAGGTGGCTCAGTTTAAATAGGCATTGAAGGTGGTTTGAGCTAACCAGGCTGACTTTGCACTGAAGCAGATGGTAAGTGCTCATACAACCCACTGTCAACGTACATAACAATTAGATGAGTTATGGAGTTGTACTCCATGGCAGATGGAAAGCGACAGCACAAAGCACTTTGCCATGGCCCACAGAGCCCTTCATGAAGGTAGCAAGTGGGAGGGTTTAAATTCAAATAGCTTGTACTTCTCTAGAGCAAAAGCAAGCGTCTGAAACTATGAAACAAGCATAATACTTCTCTTCTTTCCTACCTCTACAACAGACGAGGTTGCCTTTACTTTCCCGAAGATGAGCTGAGACCTTTCACAAACCTCATTCCAGAAAATGTCCTATGAAAGACTGATGGGACATGGGCATAGGAGAGTCTACATAGCTCAGACTGTGCTGAATGCCTGCACTCTATAGCGATGCTTTGCTGAACCTTTGGGAGGACTCACCAGAGGGAGAACTGGGACAAATACAGCTCACCTTTGCACATAGATAGGAGCAGTCAACACCACTTCAGTGGCACTGTACTTGGTTCTTGTTCCAGACAAGGGTGCTTGGCCTTGCACTGCCCCTGCCAGTTCCTTCTCCTGTGCTGTCTGTAGGTTTTTGGCCTTTGATCAGTGTGCTGGTCAAGCTTCTGGACTGTATTTGGCTCAGCACAGCCCATGACTTCTCTGTGCACCCTGGCTTCTGCCCAGCTCCTCAATGACATCAATATCTGCCTCTGATACCAGTTATAGCCTGACCTTAATCAGTAAAACTGACTGCCTGTGTCCACACTATAATTCCTACGTAGTCTTGCCCCAAAGCTTCCTGCTTTGAAGTCAAAAGAAATAGCTAGACTGAGGAACAGGCAAGGCTGGTCCTGACACAGTTTGCAGCATCACTGCTGCTTGGTCCTGGTATGCTCTGGGTACTGATAGCCTCATGGCTGACTTGCTGCCTGGTTTGAAAGGACCAGATCTCTTGCTAAGCACAAGGATGCTGCTGCCTGCCCGTCTCGGTCAGAGTAGATGATAAGACACACTGGTGAACCTCAGAGACAAAGACAGAGCATCCAAGTCTGGTAAAATGCCAGTTCTGTGAAGTACAGGAGATGCACACACTAGACAAAAAGCTTTATTAACGAGGGGCATTGTAACACGCTGTACTGCGCTGACGCTCCCGGTCTTTGGGAAGACTCAAAAAAACAGAGCAAATCCTTAACTTAACCTAACCACATAAGTGCTGGGCCTGCCACTTTGGCGAGAGGCCTTTCCTACCTCAAGATTATCCCATATGTTGTTTGTCTCTGATGAGGAAGAGCTGATCCCTGCTGGAACAGGCTGACGGCTAGGTAAGAAAAGTAGGGCACAGATCCTCCTTGCAGAGCAGCAAGTGTGAGTAGCAGGCAGGGAGCTAATCCAGATGACAAGTTGCTGCAGGCTGGAAAACAGCAGGACTTGCACAGAGCCGGTGTTTAAATGCCGGTCCTGGGCCACTGGTCTGCAGGACTGTGATAGCCCTAGACAAAGGGCTAGACTGTGATAGTCTAGCCCTCAGGATGTAAGGCTGACTATGGCTTCTGCTGTTCCCTCACTTTCTCCTCTCGCTCCTTGTCCATGGCAGCTGCATGTGCCTGTAGACGGCTCCAGCACTCAGGCATCTGCTCCTTGATTCCCAGTAGGCTCTGCTGCCTAATAAGGGGAAGAAAAGGGGGTTAGAACAGTCCCTGCCATTGCCTCCACAATTCCCCCAGTGCTCAAGCAGCCCTAGCCGGGCACCCCAAGGGTCCTGGGGCTCACTGCAAACTAAGCAGTTACAATTTATTGCGTCTGAAAGGCGCAGCAATTTGTTCCACGCTACTCAGCACTAATATTAAATGCTCTTGTCAGCGGTGACCTCCATACTTCTCCTTGCCTGTTAGCCCCTGTGGACACAGGTCTCACTACTGTTGTCTGGTCAGAAGTAGGGCACATACTGTGGATTGCTAGCAACTCCTTTCTCTGGCTTTAGTTCTCAGTACCCAGGGAACAAGGTATCCATAGAGGTGATGTCTCCACAGTTTTGCTGGTGTGATATGAACAACAGTCTCCTCTCCAGCTTTGTGAGGAAGAAGGACAGAATGGCATCAGATGGAGCTTTTCTGCCCTTAACTAGTCAGCACCACAGGATTTGACCTAGAAACAAGGAGTTAGGGAAGGCTAGTAGGTAATATGACACTGCAGGTCACGCCTGCCCCCACCTGCTCCACTTCAAATTGGAGAATTAAAGCCTAGTGATAAGAGCGAACAGAACGTCATTGACATGCATCTGGCTTTTCAGGTTCCCAAAAGAAGTAATTCAAGAAAAAAGCCACCTAATAAGAGATGTCACATTGCCATCTAGTGACTGCATGAACTCAAAGCATCAGCTAGGCATAGATCATACTGCAGCCTTGGCAGGAGGGTGCCAGGGGCCTTCTCAAACTGAGAAATCACCAGCACAAGTCTACTTACAAATCAAGCAAATCTAGTAATGGAGAGGAGGAACAAGGTGCAAAGAGATCCCAGCTCTGTCTTACTATGGGCTCAGAAAAAAGGCATGGAACTTGAGTGAAGGTCATATTCCCTGATGGCCTTGCACAATCCATGTTGTACAAAAGCATATAAGAACTAGCAAGCTCTCCCGACCTGGAATGACAGGCTTGCCCCAGGCATCCTGACCTGCAACTACAAGTTATTCTGGGAAATACAGAAGGGAGAGGAAGAACAAGTGTTGTGGGTGGCTGGCAGGGATCCAGCTAGCTGAACACCAGTCCTACCCAGACATACAAATCTGTGTCAGTGCACAGAAGGAGTGAGACCTTGCATGGTGGACCTGAGCAACATCTCAGCTTATGATTATTCCGATATACCTACAGGAGAATCTTACCAATCACGTAAGAAAACATTACATCTCTCAATCCATGGCAGGTCCTGCAAGGATCTAAGAGGCAAAGCCGGTTCCCTTGGGAAAGCCTCCTTCAGCGGGTAGGAGTTGAAGTTAAAAAAGAAGATTGAGCTGTGACTTGCTCTCCTCTGTGCCAACACACTTGCCTGCTGTTGCTTATCTCCTGAACAGAAGAGACAAGAACAGTGGGCTATTTCATCAGGAGTCATCCAATGAGAAGAACAATCAAGGATCCGTGCAGAGCTGAATGTATCAACCCAACGACCATGTATCCAAAACTGGCCCAAGTTCACCAGCAGGGAAGAGAGCAGTACCCAAGTTGGGGATATTTCCCAGCCCTGCTCCCCTATGTGAATCCTGTTTCAGGTAAGGGTGACTAGCAGGCTGCCTTGAGCTGTTCCCTGGAGATGACAATAGGGCTGTGAGCAGAAATGTATCAATATATACAGGCGAATCAGGTCTGAGAAGTTTCTGTAGCCTCCCGATTAACTTACCAGTCATGCTACGTGAACTGGTGTTTCCTCTTCCTAGAGGCTTGCCTGCTTAACACTCTCACCAAGAAACACAGCCCAGTCCCCTTTGCCCGCTCACTACCATTTGACTGCACAGTCCCACTTTGCACCTTACTACCCACCTCGAAGGATCAGGCACTGATCTGCAGTATCCACAGTGAACACCGGTTGCCAGGGGGATGCTACAGCATGAGACGGTGGAGTATTGAAGTAGCAAACAATGCGTGATGTGGCAGTGTCCATCAGGGACACTGTGCCATCCCAGGAGAAGATCAGGGCCTGAAACAGCAAGCTGACACTTAGAGGGGGATATAAGAGGGGTGAATCAGCCTTTTATCAAAAGGGCAGGGAACGGTATCCAGGGCTTGATGTTCCCGACTGTGATGTTGTGTTTCCTTCGCCCGCCCAGTAGTTGTAGGGCCACAGAAGTTCAAGAACAGGTTGTGCAGGGAATTTGAACTGCAATTGATGCAGGTTGGGTTTGGGATGGGCAAGTTATAGCTGAACTAGATCCAGCCTTCTGCATTGGCTAGCTCCGGCAAGAGGGTTTTAGTCCTTTTCCCCCCATGCCAGAAAATTTTCTGATGCCATTTGAAAGGTCTGACTGGACTTGTGCTTTCAGCTTCTCTTCACCATGAAGCCCCCTCATATTTGACCCTGATGCCTGAAGCTTCATGACTGGACCCTCATCTTTGCACCTGGACCTACCCACCCGCAGGAGGGCCTCCAGTGTCTCCCACCTCAGCAGCCATTAGAGGGCACTAGTGCGAGGGGAGACTGAATTAGGTCATAGAAGATAAATCCTTTGGGAGTTACCACATAGGTACAGACTTGTAACTGTTGCTGGAAGTCCTTGAGCTGAAAATAGAGGCTGTACCATATCTGCTTGCTCTGTTCTTAATCTTCTAGGTACTCAGTTACTGCCATTACTGGAAATAGGACCCTCTTACCCAGTTCAGCTGTTCTTCTACTCTTAAGGCAGGCTGGCAGCAATACTCACTGCGCTGGGGAAGGCCAAGAAAGGTGCCACTGTGCTGATGGCGAGTTTTGGATCCTCAGGCCTGTTAAAGAGACTCATGCTAATGGCATCATTTCATGTAGACCTGGCGTGTCACTGAGACACTGTAATAATGACAATGGCAGTGTCTGGCACAGGGGCTGGCACAAGGTTCAACCAAACCACTTCCTTATGGGGACAGGGCCTACTCCCCCTCAGAGACAGGGACCTCCAAAGCCTATCCCTATGCATAACTGCCTAGGAGCTATATAGGAGGTGCAAATCCCCTGCCTGCCTTGGAGGCATAAAACCATAGTTCCTAGAGGAGCAGCAGATTCCCCAAAGCTGATCATTCTCAAAGCATGGGGATGAGTGAACAGAAATTTGATAGAAAGATGGCAGGAAATGCCTACTCTGACTTGCAGGTGCAAGCTATTCTTGCAAGAAGAGGAGAGAGACCAAAAAGGTGTCCTGCAGGGGTCCAGAGCAGTGCTATGAGCCTCTTGTCCTAGTGCTATGAGCCTCTTGTCCTAGTGATTAGGAACACGCTTAGGAACCAATTTAAGGAACGTGCTTAATTTTGGCTCAACCATTAGATTTCAATACTGGGACTGACTAATAGTAAAGCCATACAGGTAGCTGCATGGCAGAGATATCTGCGCAAAGGCAGTAGAAAAGTTCTCCACTCCATGGAGATTTGGGGCTTCTTGCTGACCCTTTCTGCTATACTACATAGTTTCTTTGGCTGGAGTGAGGTCTATGAGAGTCCACCTCACCTGTCTGCCAGGAGCGTGATGCTGGACTTCCCGGCCCTGGGTGCTGCCACCAAGTAGAGAGACCCATCTGTACACAGCACTAGAAGCTGCACAGTGGGACAGGCAGGATCTGTACCAGGGTAAGGTGTCTGGTCACTGGCAGCTGCAGCACTCTGCAGAAAGTGCATGCTACGGATGACATGTTCCTTTAGAAGGGCGGTCACAGTCAGTGGGTATCCTGAGGAGGCAGAAGAAAGAATAAAAACAAACAAACAAACAAACAACCCCAAGGCAGCTGTTTGGGGAAAAAAAGAAGAGGCAATTTATCCAAGGAAAGTTTAGCCAGGGAATGTGGAACCTTTACAGGCTTGGCCAGGACCCAGAAAGGTCCCTCATTTTGTCTGCACTTCTCTAGCTGTAAAGCTTTTTCAGCTTCCTGCCAGGAACATCAGGGGATTTGATTTGGTTTGTGGCCTGCTCAGGGACAACCGCCAAAACAGTCCTGATGGCAAAAGAAGATTCTTCTGCCAAGAGAATCCCTGCATGGGCAGGGTAACGCTAGCACTGATGGCAGCTTGGACTGTGACGCCACATCTCAAAGATGACCTGAGGCTACAGTAGGAAAGAAATGACTGTCCCACAGCTTTAGGGCGAGATGGGAGTCAGTCCTCACTACAGCAGTTCATAGGTCCTGCACTGATATGAATGGGAATGGTTCTGCCAGGGCTAGTTACGTTGCCATGTTGGCATCAGCTGGCCAACCACTCCGTGAACAAATAAGTCTGAACTATTTTTGGAAGATTTGTTTGTAAAGTCATTGGCAATCCCCTGTTCACATCCACTCAGAGCCTCAAACTCCTAGGGAGGGGAGCAATCCACTGTGATCCCAATGGATAGGACCACAGAGCAAGCTCACCTAGGTGTTTATCCCAAATAGTTATTGTTGCATCTTCACACGCCAATGCCAGGTACCTGGAGCAGGAACTGACAGCTGAGCTCGCAATTGGAGCTGCACAAGGCCACACAACATCAGGCTTCAGATCAGCATCTAAACAGCAGGACAGGAGAAGGCTTGACTATAAGACAACTGTTCTCTCATGGTGCCAGTTTCCTCTTTCCCAGTACAGCACACACCAATCCGAGGTATCCTGCCAGGCTGGCCTCATTGAACATAGTGCCAGCACACAAAGCATGGAGCCCTGCAATTGGAATGCAAGCCTAACCCTCAAGATATAGGGCAGCTCTCCTCCCTGATTCCCTGTTTCCCTGAACCACTGACAATTACTGGCCTCTGAATATCCCCCCAGGGAGCCCTGCTAGGGAAAGTAAGATTCCTCCTACACTGTTAAACTTGTGGCCAACCCCTTCCAGCCTCCGCTATATCTACTTAAGGTGATAGCCCACTCTAGTCTGGGCCTGGTTCCCCTCCCTCCCACAAGGTTGCCTGCACTGCGTTGCAGTGAATGAATCTAAAAGCTAAGAGAAATTCCCAAAAGCTTGCTGGGGAAAAAGGAGGATTCCCCCCCCATACACACAGCTGGGAAAAGGGCAGATTAACAATGGTAGGTGCTGCAGTGTGAGACCTTTGTGAGCAGCTGGGAATTTCCCTGCCACACTGGCTAATATGGAAGCCTCTGGTCACAGGTTTCCAAATAAGCAGTTTGTTTCCTTTTGCTTACCCACTTTCTCCTTGAGTGGACGGTTAAGCGAATACAAGCAGAGATTGTGACTTCCATCCCAGTGCACACTGATGCCAGCTGGAACAGCTGGAAATGGGGAGGGCATAACAAAAAAAAAAAAAAAAAAAAAAAAAAGAGATCAAGGGACACGGACAGCAATCCAGCAACTCCAAAACACCATTAGGAAATACTGGGAGGAGATCTCACATACAGGAGCTCTCAAGGTTTCCCTGGCAGGACTTATCTGAACTCTACTCATACAGAACCTAAAATACAAACAACTTTCCCTTTGCTTGTGACTTTTTCATTGCCTATGTGCCCCCTCCTCTTTTTACTATGGAGCTAAGTTTGTTTGACTGCACACTGGTGACTGACTTACGTATGAGGGCTGGCATTCTTATCCAGGCTTACGTCCTTGAAGATGGAGTTTATATAGTCAAACCAAGCCAAGCCATTGAGCTCTAACTGAAGCTCAATGTCATGCAGTAATGAGTTCCACAGGTTAACACCTTCTTCTAACACCATTTGGATTACCTGGCTGTAGTTTTACTTCAGGTCCCACCTGTAGGATCCGGCTAGGCAGGAGAAAATGAAAGGTAGCATGTCTGAAAAGGGAAAAAAGAAACATATGCAAAAGAAAGGCCTTGGTAGCTCAACAGCGCTGCAGTAGGACCTGGAGTGGCTCTGGCCCTGCCCTGAAGCCTTGGGATGAAGGAGGGAGATCTGAGTCAGAGGACACTTGGGAAACACCCTATGTTGAAATTTCATGGACTAAAATGCTGGTTAGGGCTCCTACTCACCTGGGGATCTCATCCTTGCTCTCAGTCTCGGCCTCCAGATACTCCTGATAAGTGCTGTGGAAGATTGCCTCCTGCTGCTCCCACTGGGAATCCTTGATCAGGTGATTGTACCCCAAGCCAAATATGCCGCCATCATCCACTTTCATCAAGGCATCCAAAGGGCTTTTAAAAATACTTCCTGGATTGAGAACACAAATGAAAGAGCCACAGCGTGGGGAGAAGCAGACACTACGAAGACATGGGAGAGCTCAGAGGCACTTCTACTATCCCAACTTCAGGGTGGCATTGTCTTCAAGAGGGCCACGTTTCATCTTACTGGCAGAAATGTTTCAACATTAACAACGTTCTGTGGAACCTTCTGTATCACTAGTCCATTTTCCAGTTATTTGAAGGCAGGGATCAGGGCAAATCACTTGAGGATCCAGCTCATTGCCTTTCTGTGGCATTCTCCCTGACAGCATCCCCAGAACAAGGTCTGCTCCCTCCCTAACCTCCTCCCTAAAGCTTCAGCATGTTCCTTTGAATTTAGGAGTCAGAGAGAAGAACTGGGATGGCTGTCAGACTGCTAGGATCTAGGAAACAAATAGTCTGCTCCCTGTCTGGTGGCAATGAAGCTGAGGCTGTATGAAATCCGCTGCCAGGCACACTGAAGTATTTTGTGCTAACAGTGGTGGCACATCATGCAGTGGTTGGGCAACAAGCAATTCCCGCTACAGGACTGTTGGCAACTACAGAGACAGGGCAAGAAGGAGCCAGGAAGCACATTACTAAAACTTGCTGAAATATTCTGTTCTGTAGACATAAGGGCCATGATTTCTTTGCCACCTGAAGGAGGCGGAGGGGTTAGTATGCAGAAACAGTCCATGACCTGTAATAGGTTTCGGTGGCTTGACTTTCAGCAGCAACACTGGGAGAGCCAGCTTTGCATCAGCTTTGTTTGCAGACACAGACTCCTGCAAGAGAGAAAGAGTCAGCTTGAGAACTGGCTTTCCCGTAGCTGTGTTGTGTCCTATGCTGAAAGTTTTCACCTGTCAGAAGTTCCTGAGAATCAAATGTTTCCTGAAGTAGGATGTTCCCATCTCCTCAGATGGGGCAGTACTGCTGGGAAAGGAACTGGCAGTTTCAGGGAGGGGCAGCAGAAATGCTAGCCTTGGGACCGAAGGAATCTCCTTGGAAAGCCTATCTTGAGAGAGGCAATGTGTCCCAAAAATATGGGACGACGTAAAGCTTGGCTTACACTGCCTAGGAGATACTGGTTTTAGCCTCATTCTTCAGGCCAAAATACAGAAGCTTGAAGGAGGTCACTACTTCCCCAACAAAACTACAGAGGATCTCCTCCTCAGACACTTTGCGCTCTACATGCACTCCACTTCAGATCACGCTGAATGCCTCTTGTTGTAGCACAGGCCTGGGTGGGGCACAGGAAGGCTTTAGACCTCAAGGGAAAAAAAAAAAAGACTAAAGGTTGCAGAGTGCTGTGGAAGAAATGAACCAGATTTGGCTTCAAAGGGTCCAGCACTCTAGGAGATCACTTGTATGTCTGGTTGGGAGTGGAGAGTCCTACCAGAGGAAGTACACTTGTGTACCCTCCCCACACCCACACAATGACACCAGGGACTTGGCTAAACAGGAAAGGTCAGGCGAAGCAGCGCATGTCTGAGAAGGAAGAGGCAGGAACTTGGGTACCTTATACGAGCACAGGGGATCAGCAAAGAGGGAAGGCCTCAGTGTTTGTTTACTTTCGGCTTGGCCAATTTAAGGGGGATGTGATTGTCACGAAGACAAGGCTGAGTAGCAAGTCCCTCTTAAATTCCCAGAAAGTCTCTGCTGAAGGAAGGACAAACTGTGAGGCAGGTGTTACAGAGCATGAACTGGAGGTGCAAGACAGACAGTGCCTGAGTGTCGAGAGGTGATCTGGCAGGGTGAAAGTGATGTGGGAGAGGGTTAAGCACTGACTCAGTATTTAAGATTCCCCATAGCAGCTCAGGACATTCACTGAGGTCAGTTACCATCTCTGCAGAACGCTCTCCATACAGCTCCAGACTTTTCTGCCAAAGAACCAGAAGAGGGCGGTGGTTACTTCAAACAGGCTGACAGAGGGTGGGCAGAGACCCTACCCTGCTCAAGTGGATTCAGCTACAACCCCAAGAGGCTCCTCTTGGGGATCTAAAACATGAACCCATGTCAGAGGCACTGCCAGGACCAGACTCCCAGGTGGAGATATAACGCCTGATTCTCAGCTCTGCTCTTTCACCCTCCCCTAGTAACACAAGAAGGAAGGCAGACGTCCTGTGGGAATACCCCCAGAGAGGGCCTCCTCAGATGGGGCAAGTGCTAGGAAAGGAGCCGGCAGTTTCAGGGAGGGGCAGCAAAAAATGCTAGCCCTGGAACCAAAGGAACTTCCTTGGAAAGCCTGTCTTGGGAGAGTTAACATGTCCCAATAACATGACACTCTTGTGAAACGTGGGATGGGCGGCTGTAGAAGCTGCAGAAACAAATACGCTGTCCCCCTGGGCTGACAAACTTGTTCAGCCTGAATCTTGCTGTCACTGTCTGCAGGAGCAAGCGTTAAAGACAGACCTGTAAGCAAAAGGGTACAAGAGAAAATAGTACAGAGGGAAACAGAACTATTTTTTACCATAGATGTCTGACTTGACTTCCTCTCCCTGAAAGCCAACTCTGCTGCAGCTCCTGGGCTATTTTCTCTCTCCTTCAGCCAGGAATCCTTAGGCAACTGGTAGATCTCCAGCCAAGCTTCTGTGCTGCCTGCATTGGGAAACTGTGTTGAGCAATTGAAAATAAGGAGGAAAGGTCTTTCAGGCAAGCAGCTCTTACATCCTCAAGAAAAGATCTGGATCCTTTTTGAAATCTAAAATCCCTTTGCTCTCCATGCAGCCCACCTCTCCTCCCACTTAAGGCTTCACATGCTAGACTCCAAGACAGACATCACAGCCTCCAGCTCAACCCCTCGACGCCCACCAAACAAATTCCATCGAGTGCCTTTGTCAAAGAACTTGACCTGCAGCCACTGATGGAAGGTAGAAAGTGGTCTCACACTGACTCTCAGTGGATGTTATATATCTCAGTCTCATCATATGACCAGGCAGGTTCCACCAGACGTGGGGTCTAGAAAATCTACTAGCAACAAATGGGCTGACAAAGGCAGCTGCCCTGAAACAGAAGAGTGCTATAGCAAGGCGAGTTTGTTGCTATGTTTTTAGAGGCTGCTCCTATGCTCTCTGGCTTATGTCTGCAGAGAAAGTTCTTCAGGTCTATATATTTCCAGTGTAAAAGTGAGTCCTTGTAAACCAGATGAAGAACTGAGGCAGGTACTTCTACAAAGAGGGAAACCTGCTTTCACTGAGCCTTCTGGGAGCCTTGAGAATTGCGCTGCCTAGTTCCATTCAACTGACTTGGGATCAGTGCTGATCTATAAGAGGCCTTTTGGAGAGGACAGGGAGTGGCAGCAGCAGCTCTCTAAGCTGGAGAAAAGGACTGGGTAGTTTAGGAAGAGGATCCCTGGGAACCCAGAAGACAGAACATTTTAAAAGCATCTGCCGCTGCCCCCTCTTTTAGAATGCAACAGTCGTCGTCCAATGCACCATGCTCCTGCACTTGCCTTGCAGCAGAACTCCTGCGTAATCACCTCCCTGGGAAAGCACCACCTCCACACAAGTACTTCGCTTGCTGATGTCCTCCTGCCAAAGGAAAGATGGCTGGCATCAGAGCAGGGTTACTGATGTAGAGCGCTCGACGACTTTAAACAGTTCTCTGATGGGTGAAGGCAAGACAGACTAGCGGGAGACCCGGACTAACTACCACATGTGCAGTGCACAGGCGTGAGACTAGGGAGATAAGGAAAGTGCCCTGTGCCTAGGGTTTTGTTTTTTAAGTTTGCCCTGGGTTGGCAGGAAAGTCTAGTGGCCAACAGTGCTACTCCTGTGCCCTGTGCAAGTGCCTCAGAGGTGCTTAGTTCCAGTCTTGCCTCGGGCTGTCCTTCAAAGGTGCATGGAAGCTTGAGCAGATGCAGAAGAGCATAATGGAGAAAGATGAGGGGGAAGTACTTAGTGCTCTGGCTTGATCCCACAAAAGGGCAAAGAAAAAGCAGACATCAGAAGAATTTAACACCAGACAAGGCCTTGGAGACTGGGAAAGGGATTTACACTTTGTGATTTACACGTACTTTACACTTTTTGATTTACAGTTTGCATTCTTAGCGGAGAGCCATCAGCTCTGGAAATCACTTCCCCAAGTAAAGGAAGACTCATTCCACTGGGTCATAAACAATGGCACTCAGGAACCTCCAGGAGGTGCTTTTGCACAACCCTATACCTATCCTATACCTCTAGGATATCTGCATTCAGAGATGACTTTGGCAATAACATGGGCTGTATGTCACATAGGCACACTGCCTATGCTCTCCTGGCTCAGTGAATGGCTCTCTGGTCTTGGAGTGCTGCTGCTGCCCATACCAGAGTATTTTTGGAGGGCAATTAGTACTCATCCTGATTGATCACTTAGCAGCTTTTGCCCAGGGTTTATGAAATTAACTCACTACTTACCATTTCATTTAAGTTTTTAATGAATAAGAAGCTGTCCTTGTGAAAGCAGAAGAGCCAGACAAGCCCTAGAAGCGAAACACAGAGATAAGTCGCAGTCCAGTGAATACATGGTAGCCAAGCTCTTGGGAGATGGCTGTGACAACACATGCGGGAGAGTGAACAGGATTACATATTTTCCTGGGCTCAAGGAGAAATGACCCCTTGCTTCCAGCACTAAACTGCCACTGCCTTCCTTATGTCAGCATTTGCAAACAGTTGGCCATACACAGACAGGGCTCAGCCAGCTTGAAAAATATTTCCACCAAAAAATGATAGCTTTCGGATGAATCAACAAACTAAGCTGATTTATCATAGGGCTGTGCAATTACAGATGCTGAAACAAAGAATGGGCAGCAACCCACGGCTAACAATACTTTCTGTCTGGTCTAAGGTATTGCTAAAATTTACTGCACCTCAGCCTGAGCTCTGCACTCACCCCTGCTGCTCCAGAGAGAAGGACACCAAGCCCACACCCTTCACTAATCCCACGGCCCTAGGCCTGTCTGTTACCCTACAACTTACTATCTAACACCCTTCTTCATAGACCTTTATAAGAAACCTGTCAGTAATACTTATACTCCTGCTAATTTAGTACTTTTCTGTAAAGTAGCTGCCAACTCTTCAGTCCCAAAGTGCAGCCATCCCCGAGGTAGCTCAAAGAAATCCAAATCACACTAACCCATTTCATCCACAGCAAGCAGGGCATGGTGCTCATTCCCTAAGTCCGAGGCATGGATGGCACAAACCTCTGTCTTGGCTGCATCCCAAGCACAGGCTTGTTTACAGTCAGACACCTTGAAGACAGCCAGACCCACAGACAGCCCAACAAAGAGGTATTTTCCAGAGACTGCAAGGCAGTTGGCTCTTCCTGTCACCTACCAAGAAAAGGAAAATGTGAATATGCCCAGCCGCTTCCCAGTGGGCGACAGGTCAGTCACGGTCAGCCATACTAGCAATATACTCCTAACTTTTCACTGACAGTAAACACTGATGTACTCTACGAGGGAAAAAATTTTGCATGAGCTTTCATCAGAAGAATGGCAGAGGTAGAGGAGAGGGTGAAGGTGCCTCAACTCCCATCAGAGATGGCTCTGTGTCAGGAATGAGAAAGTTTGCTCCTACCCTTCCCCTTCAGATAAACAGAAGGGGCCTTAAGGGCCAACAACTTGGCAGCACTCAGCCCTCCCTCTGCCAAAGCAGAGCTGTGATGTGATGCTGAGCCCCTCTATTCTAGGTAGTTGCAGACATGCCTCCTGGATACCTGCCCTCCAGATCCCTCTGCAGATAGATGGAGAAGGCAGTGCAGCCCTTCTGCACAGAAGGCTCCTACAAGCCCCAAGAGCAGCCCCTTTCTGCTGCCAGCTATCATCATAAACAAAGCTGAACTTGTCCATTTACATGCTAGTGACTAACTACCTTCTCCTCAGCAAACAAGGGTGGGGCCAGCCTGAGAAGCAAAAGGTGAATTTAGTACTGTTTAATATCTGCTTCTCTCTTTTCAGAGAGGTGTGATAGATGGGTGGGAAGCAGACCTGTCAAACAAGATTGAAAGCTGCAGCCTTTTGAAACGAATAGGGTGAGATGGCAGTGGATTCTGAGGAAGGTGATGAAGGGAAGGATGTAAAAATCAACTGAATGGACATTATCAAGAAAAACTTCTAAGGTAATTAACGCTCTCTCTGCTGCGAGGGGCTCTTTACCTGGAATTCAGCTGTGGGAAAGCATTTTGTGGCCTGGATCCTCACTTTTTGTGCTTCTTGGAGTGTCTCTCTTCTTTCAATGATTTCCATAGCATTCTCAAAAACGAGCATCACCAGTTTGTTGATCATCCGGAAGGGCTGAGGCAACACATCAAGCATTTGATCGGGATCCTGCAGGAAGAAATTTTCCTCGTCGTCCTTTAACCAGTCCTTTTCAGATGGTGGAGGAATCTCCAGGGGATGCTTCCGGATATACACTGGCATCTTTCTGCCTTTCCTGATGCAAAACGCTCCACAGGTGCAGTAACCACAGTAGACGCAGAAGACCAAGGAATTGTGTCATATCTACATTCATGAGGTAATGGAAAAAAAGATGGTTAATGATTTCTAACAGGGAAGCAGGGTTCCTATCCGTAAACACAGTCAGAGCAAACTTGTTTTACATAGCTCATTTCTACTGCCTCCATCACTTCTACTGCGCGTGTTTTTGCCCTGCTCTGGGAATACTGCTACTGAGATGCCTGCAGGCTAAACACTGAGGTGAAAAGGTAAGTGTAAAAGTTTAGGGGTGCGTTTGTATACAACATTTGTAAGTATGGGCTTGTTCTTCGTTAAAAGGCTTATTCAGCCCGGACTGAAAAACCAGACAAATTAATTTTGAAAACTGGCAATTTCACCATAAGTTTGACTGAACTTTAAAGCCATTGGGCACAGCATTTATTTCCAGATGTCAACGTTCACAGCGTGCCCGTGACCAGGGTCACCACGAGTTAGACGCTCACCCGCCACTGGGAGCCCTGGGGCCCGGGCAGAGGGGCCGGCGGGCGGCGGGGGGCGCCGGCGCGGCGGGC